TCTATTGACAGCGAGCACTAATATGAAGTTAAACCTGCACACACACACACACACACACACACACACACACACACACACACACACACACAGTTGTTTCCAATTACCCAACCTGATTAGACCTCCAGCCAGGCGGAAGATGGGTGGAGCTATTTTGGATATTACACGATGTCACCTAATAGGAATAATAAAGGCCCACCGCTGTCCCACCCTCACAGGTGCCACAGAGGTCACAGGAGAGTGCAGGGGATGTCAATCAAACGCAGTCTGTACACGCCCACACAGTCCTGAGAAGAGCTGTAATCAGGCAGCTGTGTGGGTGGACGTACGGGGGCCTTTCAATGTCTGGTCCTAGAGAAACTCAGTTTTAAGGAAATCAGCTCAGTCGATTCAAGACGAGGCTAAATCTAGAGCTCCACTCGGCTTTACAAAAGCTGCATATTCAGTTTCAGCCTATTGTGTAGCTGCCAGCCCACAACTTCACTGTTTCTGGTTCACTCTCACCGTTCTCATTGCGTCGTTTCACATAGTGCCTGAACAAAGTGGAGCATTTAGCAGCTAAAGAACCACATATTCCCCTCAGGAGTTGGAAGAGACCAAAAATATGGTATATATTAATACCAACTTATACCATACTTTACCATATTACCTTAAAGGCTGACGATATATCCGTGCTGATGAGGTTTATAGACAATCTCACCTTAATAGATCATCACTGCCAGGGATACAATACCAGTCCAAGTGTTGGACAGTTTCCTGTAAATGGTCGTTCTATGGACAAACAAACCTCGACAATGAGGAGGGTCGTAAGTGAATGGCAAGACCTGTTGAAGGCAACCGGTTGGGTGGTTTGGCTTCAAACTTATTGAAGTTGAGGAACAACAGCACCAAAAACAGACACCAGGAAGATGAGAGAGAAACAAAAAGAGAAATGTGACACAGGCTCATATCAGTCAAATACAAATGTGTAAATATAAGTAAGCAGCCACAGTCCTTTTTCCTTATTAAAGATACTTGGTGTTTTTTTATTTACATCATATAAGACAGAAGATGTGCCCTTAATGTCAGTCAGAAACCAACAGCTGTCATCAAGCCTCGTCCACATACACACCTGATTTCAACCACAGGGTCAAACAGGGTTCATGTCCAGGGTCAGTTCTTTATGTTTACGACATGACATCAAAAGTACAAAACACTGACCAGATTTCTGACACGTGACATCGACCAGTGGCTCCCAAAGAGAGAGAGATCTCAGTGGAATGATGAGTTGTTAAATGTCACAAATATTTTATTAGTTTTAATCAAAGCTGGTGAATAAAATGTTATGGAAGCTACTATTCTCATGTGGGTGAAGCTTTATAGATGGAGATCGGTGGAGTAATGCGCATCCATCAGGAGGACCCTGGACATGGATGACAACCATGTTTGTTTCTGCTGTTAAAACCAGGCTAATGTTAAACAAACAGGGACCAGTTTCCCATCAGCTTAGACCCGTTGTACTGTAAGTCAGTGGGGGTGAAGTTGATCTTGGCAACAAGACAGTTTACAACAATGTCCTGCAGAAAACATATATTAAGCAACTTTATTTTTCAATAAAAAAAATGACAGTGTCATGCTCATTCAGCTGAAGAAAACGTTTCATAAATCCACCATTTGAGAAAAATCATTAAAAATGTGATGTGGAATGAAAAATTTAAATAGTAGTCGTTTTTTTTTTTTTCTTAATTCATGAAATAAAAAAGACATTACTTGAGGGTGGGGACTCTGGTATGTTGGGAAAACGAGCCTGGCTTTAGATGGCACATATACTGACATAATGTTTCTGGCTGAAATAGAAAACGGACAACAAAGCAGTGGAAAATGTGATATAGTCAAATCATTTTGTGAATTATACCAAAAAAATCTGCAATAACATTTTATTACAATTTCCATTTTTCAGTTTGAATATCTTAAATAGATCTAAATTGTACAGATTTGTTACAGGTACAACAGACCTTTATTAACAAACTAGTATGTTTGTACATTGGCAAAATCAGTATGTTCTCATATTGTTTCACACACTCACGCAGGCAAGCACACAGACGACAGTTGCTGGAGTTACGGATGTATTTGCCTTTGTCTCACTGGACACTGGACCCCTTCACACTTACCTCAGGCCCATGACAACATTTGTTCATGTTCATTGTTTGACACGGCTTATACAGTACAGCTCAGTTGTATTGCCACTGTAACTGCGATGTACACCTGTGTAGGAGTGAGTGACCTACAGCATACACTGTAGTGTAATGGTCCACGACTGACAACAACACTGTAGAGAACCGGTAACTGCAACACCTCTGCATCATAACAGCAAGACTGTAAGATCTGACCAAACATTTCATATTGTGCCAAGAATTTACAGACTTGGAGACATGAGCGTTGGACACAAGTTGCGTGGGTGTAATGCTGATGTAATGTCCTTCATTTAACCGATGCAGACTTCAGGCACTGCTGAAGTTGAGTGTAAATGACACCTGCACTACATTTATGCTACAATAGATAGATTTTATACATATTAATGCATGTATGCATTATAGAATATTGCCAGGATGGCAGCCAGGGAGCACTTGTGCATCTCTATAAGTGAAAGCTCTGCCTTGGAAAAACCTTACCCCAAGCTCAATAACACAACTGTCGGATACACTTAAGAGTGGTTCACCTACTGTACCTTATGGGGGACCCTAAGGAAATTCAGTCTCTTTTACTGCTGGATACAATAATGCAACAATAGTAGCGTCCATGCACAGATTTTTCCATAGTGGATTTAAAATAATTTGCACAGTGTACTTCTTTTGGATTGTGGGTTGGTCATCGTCTCCTTGCAGCACGAGTCGCACCTACGTTTGGGTGTGTGGGGACATGTTGGAATAAAACATTTTTAAACTGCTGCTCTTTAAAATATCCAGAAGTAAACACTGTAAACTAGGTTTGTAACAGCAGTTAGTCACATAAACTAGCAACTATGGCTATCATCGTCATTCTTCAATTGTCTAATCTAATCTTGTCTACTCCTCTATTCCTGGACTGTGTACTCTCACTGTGAATACTGCACCCTACCAGGCTTTGTTACAATACATCTCCTTCCATGAGTAACATTAAATTGCTACTTATCATGTGTTTCTGGTTTAACCCACTATAATAAACTAATGCACTAGGCAATGCTTATGGGTTCACTTGCTCATATGGGATTTTAGTCAAACTAAATAGATCTAGAAAACGTTTTAGATACCTATCTGAATAAAATGGCCCTTGTAGACTCTCAAACATTTTCTGAAATTATAATTTACTTTATCATCGGGGCCAAAATAAGGCTTAGCAGTATCCACATTCCCAGGCCTTACAGACATGGGAAACTTCCCTCAGGCTCTTGGAAAACTTGATAACCATTCTCTAGTGTATTTGGCAATTTCTACTGAACCAGGGTTAGGCAGGCTTGTCAACGTTGAGAGAAAAATGTGCTAATTTTATGAGCCTCTGATGTATACATATATAGGATGTATGTCCCAGGTGGGTGCTGCAGCTTCTGGTTCTCTATAATATCACAAGAAACATGAACGTTATAGACCTTTTGGTCTTAGGAAATGCTGTGACGTTGTTACCACAAAGCAATAAAATGTGAACATTATGCTGCTTTCTAACAGGTGTAGCAAGCCCTGACAAAAAAAATGTATATACCGACATAAATTTTGAGTTGCCACTTTACTTTAAATCATTTTATATTGTAGATAAGTTCTCTAGGCTTAAGATCACAAGGCCAACCGACTAAACATTGGCACCTAGTTTGGAGTTAATACACATACTTTCTTTGTGTTACGATTCCTGATTTCTGCTCCCATGTGTTTGACTGATAGGATTTATCTTTAGGTGTTAGTGTTGTCTAGTCCAATGTCAGTGCTATACTGCATAGTATACTTAAAGTGACTGCTTGAAAATAGGTTATAATTCTCATTTACAGTAAATATAGATAAGACTATGTAGTGTAAGGAAAAATATTCTCAGTCTATTTTCATTGCCAAAACTTATCAGGGCGTTTACAGAACATGGAAACGTTTCAAGCTTTCTGATGCTACTCCTGTCAGAGAATCTGGTGACAGTTGTAAGAATTATTTATGGCAATAACGACTTATTATCGAAGTTTTCTAACACTTCCATCTCCGGTTCAAACACTGGCAGGTCAAAAAGGAATATTTTTCCTCCTTCCATGCTTTCCTTGAATATGGCACATTGCTTTGTTATGCTGGTGTTAATCTCAGTTAGAGGGCACAAAGATCATTAGTGGGTGAAACCTTCGGCCAGATGGGAATTAGTTTTTGTGTCCGATATAAATGACCCTTCTGATGTTTTCCTACAAGCTGTGTTTTACATAGCATAGCCAGCATGTGTTTCTGTTGAATCTCTGCCATAGGGTTGTGTCCGGCTGTCAAAACGTGCTGGTTCTGCCCTCAACAACTGAACGTACACAACAGACAGCAGGTACAAAAACCTTTACTTAAAAAGCGAGATTACCCTGTGCTGTTGGTGTCTCAGAATTCAGTAGAATATTTTATTTGATCTTGTAGAGGATATAGCAACCAGTGTGATATTTTGCAAGATGTAGGTAAATCGCAACATGCTATTCCCCTTTCTGTTTTGTGATTTAGAAGTGAATTATTAACAGTTTAGTTATTAAGCTATTTTGTCAGTATCGTAAGCCATATTGTGATGTTGTAACAATTGAAGAAAAAAAACCAAAAAAAAAACCGAATTTACACCAAGAAGGTAAGCACGCACAGGTAGCACAACTTATTCAAATTTAAACAAACTAGATTATTTCTGAACTTTTTTTTTTGGTAATCAGTAAAAAGTTAAAATTATCATGTGATGTTGACAAATCTCTATGTACTTCTTTAGCTAATAAAAACAGTTCTATCAACATCAAAAATGTAATATTTCATGGAAACTAATGCCTCCTAATAATAGTTTTTTTTCTGTGGGTCTGTAACAGCCAGAAATTCCAACTGATATATAATCTTGATGTCACATCTATGTGATGTCAACAACCAAAGAGAACAATGGCAGCAATGTAATGTGAAGTATCTAAATGTGCCAAGTCTGTAAAATATTCAAAGAATATCCAACTTCAACCCTTCACTTCCCTCTTTATGATGACAGTTTATGAAGATTCTCTTAGACAAAAACATTTAATTGTTTTCCCATGGCTGGGTTACTGAGCTACGCTTAAGTATTTGGAAGGCCTGAGATTTCCACTGAGTAAATCATACTCAGCCTACTAGCAAACTACTAGACTTGAATTCAAATCCTGTTGGTTACATTTGTATGGGGCTAGTAAATACTTTAATTTCCACATGGTAAAAAAACAACGCAATAAAAAAAAGGACTACGTATGTAAATGTGAACCGTGTGAAGCATGCATACTGTGACTATGTGTACAAGTTAGGATAGTACTATATTATTAGCACTATATTGTGTGTTATTATTGGTTGATCTGGACAAAAAAAAAGATGAAAAGAATTTCAAATATTTGAACTTTTTTGAGGAGTGCTTGATTTATCTTACCAGCCACTCATGACCATCTCAAAATGAGAGACAACTAGAGAGAAACTAATCAGGACTTGTGATGGCTAGATGGGATAAGGCGCCTGCCATGACTTGCAACATCACAGGCTCTAATGTGGCTATATAACCTTTGGCACATGTCATTTCCTCATTCAAATCGTTCACTCTGCAAAATAGAAAATGACACTAAAATGTCTTCCAACAAGTGGAAACATAAGATAAATGAAGCGCTCCTTATATATGTTTTTTCTTTTCAAATATTTAGAATGAATCCATCTTGTATTTGTCCTGATTAGAGCAGTAAAAAGGCACTGAGCTGGGAATAATTTTCAGTCCTAAACATATTACCTGCAATGAAATGGCTGGATTGTTGTTGGTTATAGTTTGCTGTGGGTTAGAAGCAGAAAAGGCTCTAAGATCAGCTTAGTACTAGCCTTTTTGGCATTTGTCCCTTGATGACCACTTTTCAAACCAAAAAAATCTCCTTGTTTGTGCCTCTCATTTGTCTCTGCCCACCCCGACCAACTGGTCCAAGGTTGATGGATGGATCTAACAAGCAGATGTTAGAAATATGTTTGGTAAAACATGACATGATTTAGGGACAGCTGGGAGGGGAGGGAGGGGAGTTGTATTGTTCTTCAGTAGTGGTCTTCCTTGTACAAGAGGCCATGATGCACAGCAAACATTTGTGGCAATGAGCCATCTTCTTAAAGTTCATACAACTTCATTCCTCAGCATCCACTTTGTTAATGGAAAGTGGATTTGTTCAATTTGCGCAATTCCATTGCTAATGAGTGCAACCCTGGTCATGTAAATGGTCTCTCTCCAGGTTTTATGCAAACATTGTTGCCTCTAGACCCAGGTCAGGGTACCATTTTGGAGAGGAACACTGGAGAGAGCTAGAAACCAGGTTTGGGGCTGATGAAGACAGCTAGGTCATTAAGTTTTATATAAAGGTTTCTCCTCTAATTGACCCCATCAGTACAGCTCCTTGGGGAAAGGTCCATGTGAGACGAGCATTGTCGCTCTTCTTTAAGTCTTTTCAATCACGTCTCCCTTGCTAAGGGGAGCTGAGGGCATGTTGTCCTTTTCACCTATGATGAGAGCGAGTTTCATTCATATAGGCCATCCCACAGGTCCAAATCCAAAGTTTTCACACATAATGCATTTGCATATCCAAAGATCTGTGTGATCTGTTCCCTGTATGTTCCACAGGTTCAAACCCTCCCTCTCACATAATGAATATCTGTGTATGGTACCTACAAACTTGTTTCTCTTAGAAACATGGTCCCAATGCTGTAGGAGACTTTCCTCATAGAGGCCGGGGGAGCGGAGCGCGAGCTGGTCAGCGAGGCATGGCTGTGCGATGTCCCCGCCTCCAGGAAGTAACACGTCCCTGGGATTTCTTTGGGAAAATTCTCTGGGAGCTCCAGCCGTGAGCGAGGGACAAATGAAAAAGAGCGGTCATCTTTCAGCAACCTGTTGAAAAGACAAGTACCATTAAAAAGCATTTATTGTGGCGATATGGTTAAAAACAAGATCATGCATTGTTTGTGTACATCTGTTTATCTGTACGTGTACTTACTGGTAAGTTGTGGGACTAACATTGATACACCTTGGATGGCTCCCCGATTCAAACTTGCTGGCCAGTGTCACATTGTTCCCAAACAGGCAATAACGTGGCATTTTAACCCCGACCACACCTGCCAGCACCGACCCTGTGTGGATACCTATTCTTAGCTAAGAGAGAAAGGGAGGAAGAAGGTGGCGGGAGAAGATTGTAGAGGGAAAAAATAGATCGAAGGGGAGAGTGATTAGAGCAATAACACAATCAGCAGGAGGTTAAAAGTACCAACAGTTTAAATGTAAAATGTTAAAAGTACGTTTCCTGTATTTTTCTTGACAATGTTCATGCACTTTGCCTGAAAATGGGAGTTATGCAGCTGCTACTAATTTCTTGACACTGTATCCGCTTGCAGTTTAATTCTGATCTACAACTGAAAGGATCAGTCAATTAATTGGTCGACAAAAAATAAAAAATTGTCAACCTTTTTTTGATTAATTTACATCACGCAAAACATTCAGTGATTTCAGCTTCTCAAATGTGAGCATTTTATGATTTTCTCTTTAATATGATAGCAAACAGAATATTTGTTGTTTTGGACCGAAACAAATCTCACTTTGGGCTCTGGGAATTTAAATGTTTCATTCATTTCTGACTTTTTATGGACATTAAGATTAATTAATCGAGAAAACTGGAAAAAAATAAAGAAAAATATATAAATAAATAAAAGAATTGTCATTTGCAGTCCCTAGACGGATCTGACTGTGATCCATGTCACGTCTGACTTTGCTTATCTACAAGCAATATGAGCAACACATTGGCACCTGGCATCTAAAATGACTAACCCGGTGCTACTGTGAATGTTCATGAATTAGATCTCTGTGCTGACCTGATGCCATTCATGTGCTGCCTATCCTGCAGCACAAGGGCCTATGTTGTTTGGAACCAGAAGATGCTGTAGCAATCATACTTGCATATTAGTGTGGCTGTTATTGTCTAATCTGATATCCTGTGGCGGCAGTGATGAAAATCTTAAAATAGAAAGAGTGAGAGAGGGAAATTAATCAAATAAATAATTGCTTCCATCTCCTCTTGGTAACAGATATAGGGCAGCAGCGCGGTGCTCATATAATAATCTGGCTGAAGTATGCATCTATAAATGGCTGGAGGCAGAGTGAAAGCTATCTAGCCATCATTCCAATTTGACCATTCCACTTCATGGCCACTCGACCAACTATTGATTTCCTCCACTTGGGAACAAGTCATCACACATACAGCACACACACACACTCACACACACACACAACAAAAGCCAGTGGAACCCAGTAGATTTCTAATGATCTACTTGAGCATCTCGTCACCTAGGTATCCAACGCCACTGTGTGCATGCCAGCACACTGCAAGGTAGTCATGGCAACAACAGGCGGAGGGGGTAGTGAGGTAGAAATAGCACAGACAGACAGAAAGACAGAAAGAAAGACAATAGAGAGAGAGAGAGAGGCAAAAACAAACTTATAATTAGATGACAAAACCTTGACAGCAGAGGAGGAGAGATAAAGAAAACGAATGAGACAGAAAGTGAGAGAGGGAAAGGGCTGGTAGGTGCACTAGCGTGACCTATTTTTCAGCTAAACTGCTTACAGATGGCCGTGCACTTGTCTGTCTGTCTCTACAACAGACAACCACTCACAGACACACACAAACAAATCTGCATCCAGCGCCCACTCTCCTCTTTATTTCTTAGTCTCAAAACACAGACACAGCAACACTCTTCCCCTCCTTTTCGCTGTGAGTCAGCATCCCACAGCACATGGCCCTCAGTGAGCCAATGAGCAAATGGTGCAGCAGCACAGACGACCAATCACAGTGTAGCCTCTGGCCAAGCTGATTGCCTGTTTATTAGGTACATGTGGCTAAAGCTGATACAGTCTAATACAGTAGTCCAGCAATAAACAAATAATAAATAAATAAAATAAAAAATCATGGAGGTTATAATGTTCAGTTTTTGTTGAAACTGTTAGGAGAGGTGTCATGTTGGAGGATGTAGTTTGTCCTGCAGCTGTTGAATTATACTTATTATTACTTTGTAAATTGATGGGTTTTGGACTGTTGAACAAAACAAAACCATCAGCATAGGCTCTGGGAAAGCAGCCCATGGCTAATTGATTGAACAAAATAACAGACAGATTAATCAATAATAAAAACAATCGTTATTTACAGCCCTAAGTGTTTTGCAAGTCCTATGCATTACATAAAAAAGAAGGTGATACTACATTGTTTTGTTTTTGTTTTATTACTCCAATAATCCTTATTATTTAATATTTAGTAGTTAAAGTATATTATTTATTGAGCAATCTGTTATTATGCTAAACCAGATTTTTTATACGTTCACATTAGCATGCAAGGAAAAAAATATTTTGAATTTGCTTTAGACATAAAAGGGAGAAGAAAAATAAAATAAACAGTGTGTGCCGCAGTGCTGAAGGTGCTGGCAAATGCAAAAGAAACATGTAGCCAGAAAAAAAGCAGCCTTATTTGGTTGACATGGCAGGGCCCTGACCATTTCTGAAGTCAATGTTTTGTGGACATAAGCCCACATAAACTCACACAAACAAAAAAAATCTGCCAGAATGTTTAACAACAATAATCTCAATCAAATACAAGTCTGCATTCAAAGAGGGCAGATCTGAGCATGTGCAGTATAGTAGCAGTAACACAATAAGCACTACATCCCTGATGTCCACACCCACTCACATACTTATACACCCACTCATACACACACATCATGCCACAGGAGGCAGTAATATAGATGAAAACATCTTACAATTTTTAGTTTTCTATATGTGTTTCTCTCTTGACATCTCGCTCTTCTGTATATTTCTCTCTGTGTCCCTGGCTCTTTCTCTCTCTCTCTCTCTCCATTTCACTCTCACTAAACATTTTCTCTCAGTTCTCTCTCACAGCTCGCATGCTAGTTTGCATAACAGTGCAACATTGGCTGGAGTTGAGTGCACTCACTGAACAGCATTTATCATGCTGAAGTGTTGAATATCTCTATAACTCTCCTTCATGTCGACATAAAGTGAGGAGAGATAAGAAAGAGGAGAGCACAACAGAGAGTGCAAAATATAGAAAAGCTGAACAAGAATAAAAAAACTGAAACGAAAAGCAAAGGAAAATTAAAGGAGTGAGTTAGAGAGAGGCTGCGGAGGAGAGGGGGAGGGAAAGATAAAGAGGGAAAGAGGAAAGACATAGAGAGAGAGAAAGTGGAAGAGCAAGAGAGCAGGCCAAAAATGCTTGGCAAGGCCTTTCTATTTTGAGACAAATGGACAATGTTAGGAGCACAGCACTACACAGAACAGTGTCCTGTCTGTTATTCAGCAGCTATCTGTCTTAGCTTCTCTCTCACATACACGTTTTCTTCCTATCTGTGTCATTGTCTATGTGTATTTTTAAACGAGTCAAAACCAAATGTGCTCGGGGGGAAATTAATAATAAAAAAAACTGTAACAAAAAATTCTGAATAGTCTTCTCGAACATTGAAACAGGTTATTACTGTACAGTACTTTCCGAATAACCATCTGTTTCTATCAGCCCTAAGCCCATGTAATGCTGATGAATATGTCTAAATGTCTTTCTCCATTGATATGCTACATTTGTGGGTTCTGTGCCAAACCAGAAATAATCTGCAACTTACTGTAGGTAATGACTCATATTTATGACACTGGAAGTAGGCACCCCTCAGTTGTGCCTCATAATTTCCCTCCCTACTATATATACTCATCTTCTTTCTCTGCCAAAACGCAGCTTGCCTTTCTCTGTCTAGCTACATAAAATGATGAAAAACATGACCTGGATTTACCATTAATTTTGTTTCTAACTAATCTGAGCAATGACCTTTTGAAGGTGGATCAACACTCAGAGGCACCAGCAACAGTTAATGTGCTGAAAAGTTCTACCATTAAAACTTTTGGGTGTTTTTTTAACAACAAGTGTGTGCCATTTTACTGCAGCTGATTAATGGGACACGTGAATTTCCACTAGCAACAAAACCATTTGTCCCATTGCCAACATGCAAAAATAAACCACAAACCAAAATACAGCAACACAGAGAAGAAGAAAAAAACAACCTTTGTCAATCAAACAACACTTCATACACTGTAATCTCATCGTATCTTATCTTGATACAACACAAAATGGAGAAAGAGCAAAAAGGGAAATGAGGACACAATTAACAAAAGTAAATGGGTGAGGAAGAGAGAGGATGAGAGAGGATGAGAGAGTAGAGTACACAAACAAAGCATAGACAGTTGAAAACCAACACACACACACACTCAAAAGCGTATAGTACATAAATAGAACAAAACATCACACACACCCACACGGCACACACAGTCACATATATTCATCTACCACAGTACACACAAATGCATCGACATTAAAAACTGTCCTAAGCTGATTCTAAGAGTTGGTTACAGGGCGGATCCCGACATACTTTAATGGATCCGTATCGGCTAAAATAAAGCCGATCTTTACAGTGCACATATAATTAAAATCCACCATGTCTCTTCCCTGATTTCATGAAAACACACGTCACATCCACAGAACCATTAGCCCCAAAGACCAAAATGACTATTGTCTGTTACACAGCTCTTACTCATATCCTCCTTTAGTCTCCTACCGTAGCCTTTTAAATGTGTGTATCCTTTTGTATTAATGTGGTAACACAGTGTGTGGTTTGTGTGAGAGTAGTGTGCAATAATAAGATACATGTGCCAGGTAGTGGGGCAATGGGGAAATGCTAAACTTGATATTTCTAGGAGCACATGGAGTGGCCATTCCAAGTAATGCAAAACAAAAAAAACAAGTATCATCTTAAAAGTGAGACATTTCTCAATCCACATTCCTCCCTCTTTAAATTCAGATCTCCTATACCTATAATCATCCATCTTTCTCTTTTCCACAATCCATCCATCCATCTTCAAATATGTCAATCACAACACAAACCCTTCCAGCCAATAATGTATTCTGGTATCACCATGGCAACTGCATGTGACGCAGGCGGTAGCACTTTAACCTTGACAATCGGTGTGCATTTTGAAATTGTAAATAATGCGCAAATACCAACACAAAATTTCAGAGCCATTTAGATACAGGCAAAGACAGAAACAAGCACACAGACGCAAAATATTTGCTGTCGTGCGCTGTCCTCGCATTAGAATTAATAAGGAAAACATTGAAGGAAACTGTCCTCAGCAGGACGTGGTAATGGTAATACTGGCTAACTTATTTACCTCTAAATAAAGTCTTATACAGTTGACTTAAGTGGAGTAATGTACCAAGCAAATCTTTTGGCCATGCAAAGAATATCTCATTAACGTGGTCAAAAATGTATTCATGTATTCATCTTACTACTTACGTACTGTAGAGTGGAGGCATCAGAAGAAATTGATACATTTTTATAAATAAAAAAAGGGCTGATTCCTTAAAATGCCCTTCTCTTCTCTTCAAATCACTTCAAACACCTGCATGATGGAGAGTGAATGAAAACTCACCTTAATAGGTTTCCCATCAGGTGTCAGCACTTCCTCGGAAAGTTCCATCATCTTCAGAGCCATGTGTGCAATTGGCTTAGCATGACTATCAACCTTCTTGTGAAGTCCTCCTGCCACACAGTAGGCATCACCTATTGTCTCGATCTGTATGAGAAATGAAGGAGGGCAGAAACTGAAATGAGTAAGTGTGGTTGTGAGTATATGCTGACGTGTGAAACTAAGTAGTCAGTAACTCATACCGTCACCACTGAGTAGTGGAAATTAAAAGCACTCATTCATTCCTCTTGTAATGTACAGTTCTTGAACTGTTTCTTTCTCTTGGCATACATCATTCACAGTAAGAGTATGTGAGCATCTGGAGAGGATCTCCGTAAAGCCACTTACAGAACCTTGCTCTGCTTCTGAATCTGATTCAGTCTGAGAAGCCAAAAAACCCAAGCATAAAAAAACACAAGCATTTCCATTCGTTCTTGACACCAATTTGCAGACACACACATCCCAAAGTTGTCCCAATGTATTGTCACAGAGCCCACAGCCACAAAAGCTTAAATCTTATTACGTTTAAGTTTTACAGTGTTTTATAAAAAGGCATGACGAGTAGGTTTATTGTATTTTATTTGTAAGGAACCGTGAACAATATTAAACATAAATGATTGACATATTGCACAGTAGCAGAGTTAGTTAAAGCTAACTGACATCTGCGAGGTGGCAATTCTTTTTTTTAAATCTGTTAAGCAAGTGTTTTCCAGATGCCAGTTTCATAGCCACCATAGTTTCTCCTTAACGTTTGGAAGATGAGCAGTATTCAATTGGTTGGCAATCTGCACTTTCACCACTAGATGTCACTAAATCCTAAACACTGGTCCTTTATTAGCATGATAGTAAATGGTGTAATGAGCTTATTCCAAAACCTTAACAACAGCTGCATACACAGACGCACTAAGATTTAAGCCATTAAGTCTTTCCTCGTCCCTGTTTGGGCTTACAAGTCTTCCTTTTCTAAGAATTACGTCTGAACGCCAAATTCAAAAGGAGCACATGTGAACAAAGGAAAACAAGCAGTGCCACTTTCAGGGATGTGTGGCATATTTTCAGTAGAAAGAGTGAGCTAGGTGTCATGATAGTTGACACAGTCCTTGTAAAGAAGAAAAAATAGATGGCACAAGAGGAGAAAGGAGGGAAAAAGGAAAACTAGGAGACAAACTGCTCTCATTTAGGCCTGCCACCGGCTAAATCATTTCGACAGTAACCATGACAATGGCAACATATGGGTGCCTCAATCTCCTCACCATGTCCTCCTGTTCTTGCTTTCTCTTTTACACACACACACTCACTCTTCAACTGCTATACACATAAACCCTCTTACATAAACTCAATCTCTCTGCCTTTCTCTCTGTATCTCCTCTTCGCCTTTTCCAGACATCTGAGAGACATGACATTTCAGAGAAATAACACAGAGGAAAGGCATGTTCTTTATGGGAAATTGGTGAGTATGCTGTTGTCACAGGAACCGAGGTAATGAGATAAAGAAGAAAGATGATGGTAATGTTGATGGTGGAAAGAAGCAAAGGTGGAAAGAGTAAAATTGATTGATCTGATGATAGAAAGTAAGGGTGAAAAGAGGGACAGACAGCAGACTACAGTGAAGACTGTAACCAGGCCCGAAGCCACGCTGTCACATGGACAATATTGACACATCTTTGTTAAGCTCCCACAGACTGGCCATTAATCAGTTACTTTTTCCACAACACAAGGATTTTATTACAGCACCGAGTACACACACACACACACACACACACACACACACACAAAATGTATATCTAGTACACCAAATTTAGCTGATCTAACATAACTGGTAACACTTTAAAGACCCCATGAAAGGGAGCGCTAACTTTCTGGGAAACAAATGATCTTTTATGATGACCTCATTCTGCACATGGGCGCACATCAACCAATAAAGCAATTACGCTCTTTAAGCTATCCTTTATGTATTATATCTCGTCCCAACATCCTGCCTCAACAGGTGTTACTACATCACATAAAGAAGATGTTTACATCTTTCTGTCTACTGACCTTATAAACATCCAGAATGCCACACTGGTAGTCGAAGCGCGTGTAAAGCTCGTTCAGCATGGAGATGACCTGCATAGGCGTGCACTGGGCACACACAGCAGTGAAGCCCACGATGTCCGAGAACAGCATGGTAACATCATCAAATTTGCGAGCGGGCACTGGCTGACCCTGCCACAGTTTCTGTGCCACATCACCTGGAAATATGGAATAAAGGAGATCCACAGTTCTCCTCTTTTCCTCCTCCAGTGCTTGGTGAGTTCGCTCTAAGGTGGCCTGGGAGAAGAGAGGAGAGGAGAGAAGGACATTAAGAGGTTTTGTTGTGTTTTGTGCTTTGCTTTGATGAAGGCACTGATGACAACGGTACTGAGATGTGGGAGTACTGCACCAAATTAAAACCGCTGGTGCATGTAAATGTATTCATGTATTAATTTGATTTATTTTCGATTGTGTGTATCTGCATATGCTTATTTGTGTCTGTGGGCGAGCTTCTTAATGCCAAATCTGTCTGATGCACTGCTATACCATTGTTCAAGCAGGCAAAGTCAACTAAGCTATAGCTATTTATAACAGTAGCCTGGGGGAGTAGTTGCAGTGAGAGAGTGATGCAATGAGCAGATGCATATGATTGGGTCAAGACTCAGTGACTTGCTCAAAGGTACTTTGAAAGCAAATTATAAGAGCAAGTCCCAGGAGCCACATTCTTCCAGCCAGTATGGATTTAAACAGACAATGTTGAGATTTAACCAGCCAGTACAGCTGATGCATTGCATTTAACATGTTTGCTTCGGTGAGTTGTCACACCACTTGCATGATGGAAAACAAAAATAAAGACCCATCAAACGCACTGAATATTTGAATAGTATATATGTTATTTTGTCATTTTGATTGCTTGCCATTAGCCGGATCTTACCTAATATGAGCCTGTCAGAAGGCAGGCTCGAGAGACGAGAAGGAAAAAGAGCGACGTGCTGCTTTTTGTTGAGACCATAATGGACAATGAATAATAGGTATAAAGCATTTCGGTGTTGTTTTTCGTGTTGCTGGCAGCCAAAGGAAGTCAATGTATGTCGTAGCCTGTTAATAGCTCGTAAGCAGTGCCTACGCTTAGATTACGTGATCAGCTTACAGTAGATGTATCTACGTTGGTCAAAAAGTTCCAGCAGGAGGAATGTGTTCACATAATTGCCACAGAGAAGCAAAACATCAGTCCAGCTATTGATGAGCCTATTTTTGATAATGGCAAACTGGTCTAATAAACTGAAGTTTCCTTAGTTGTCCTGCTCTGCAACCATTCTACCTTAAGTTTGTCCATTCTCTTCTTCAGGCCGTCCTGTGCCTTGGCCTGCTCCCCCACCAGGATGACGTCCCGTGTCGCATCATGGATGGGGATATCTGACAGGTGGAGGCCCCTGCCCATTAGCTCCTCCAGCTTATCAACACGTGGTGAGCCCAGAAACATCAGGGAGCTGGACTCGGGCACATGGATCATCTGACCCTTCAATTCCATGACCTGGCAGGGAGAGCAACCAGAGGAGAAAGGAAGGGTTAAATAAGAATTATTATAGGCATTTACAGTGTAAAGATATAGACAATCCTAATTGCATGCAGATTGCAGAAATACACTGAGCCAGGGAAGACGGGGATGGAAGAGCGAGTGGACTAGATGCATATTGGTTTATGTTAATTATTAGCCTCTTATTACTATGGATGTCATGTCCACTTGATACTTTCATTTCTCTAACCAATGTGCCACAGAGTAGGACATTAACATACAAATAATGATTTATTGTATTGTATTAGTCCAGTAACTGCCTTTCTATCATATAAATGGGTGAATCTTTGATGCTGACTGACCTGGCCTGTTAAATACATATCTGATTAAATGTGTAATTATTTTTCACCATACAACTTCAGTGCAGGTCTATGGAAATTTGGAAATGTAAACAAACCGAAATAACGCTTGTTTCCCTTCAACACTCAAGTGTTGCTTTTTTGCTGTTATCGTCCAATAAAAAAAGGATTTGTAAAACCTGCAATGTATTATTTTTGGGTGAGAAAAAAAAGCAAAAACAACAGTCACATTACATTTCATATTAACATACTAAAAAGTGTCCATTTATAATGTACCATATATATTAGAATAAAGTGCCAAAGATGATTCTCATCTGAAGATTACAGAAAAGTGTCGATCATGTATGTATGTACATGTATGTACCCCATGTCCACTGTATATTATTTGTATTCTAGAAAAAGATGCAAACAAGCATATAAATAAACGTGCCGATAAACATACACTCAGTTGTCAGTTAATTAAGCTAAAACCTAATGCAGTCTAATACAACAGTATAATAATCCAACTTTCCTGAAGGTTATAATGTGCAGTTCTTGTTTCAAATATTTAGAGAGGTGTTCTGATCATTTTGGAGGCTGTATTTTGTGGTGCTGTGGAATTGTATTGCATTATAACGAGAGGTGGTATTGTTATTTAACCTACCCTCACTGATATAAATGGAGTGGATAAAATAATAGAAACACCTGACAGTATAACGCACCACAAAAACCCTCATCATAAAAAACAATTTTAATAAAAACTGAACACCATAGCTCCATAAAAGTCTCATTTATTTTAGGACTGTTGAATTAGACTGCATTACTTTTAGCTAGGTGTACCTTATCTACAAAATACATACAACACAGATTATAACTAAACTTATTCAGAGGTAAGGTGAGGTAATTGTCACCAATTTGTGAGAAATGTGAGCAAGCAGAGGCCATATTTTCATTCTTGTCAAGAATCTTTAAAGTCCAAATAGGACCAGATCCACTCTTGGTTATACTGCAGCGGAAAACTATAAAAACCTACAGAGTGCGCAGCTTTATCTCCTGTCCTATGGTTTCCTCTGCGCAAAAAAAACTTATTCTCGTTTCTATAAAAGAAAGATGTACCAACCATTAACTCTTGGATTACAACACTGACAGACATCGTCCATCTGGAGAGAATCCGACATATTCTTAAGGACAGACTTGATGAATTTGAAAGTATTTGTCACCACCATAATGTCACCGCTTTGACCCATACTGTCCATCCAAATGTCCTTAAATAACAAATACCAGATCATATATGTCTTTGAAGATGAGGTCAAATTAAAAAGCTTGAGTGTTCTGACACCTTTCTATCAGAGCCAGCATAACATAACTACTGTAGCTCAAACACAGCCGGCCTTTGCTCCCCACGTGCATCAGTGAGCCTTGGCTGCCCAGTACCCTGTCTCCAGTTCACCGCTTTTCCTTCCTTGGACCACTTCTGATATTTACTGACCACTGCAGACCAGGAACATCCCACAAGAGCTGCAGGTTTGGAGATACTCTGACCCAGTTGTCTAGACATCACAATGTGGCCGTTTTTAAAGTCGCTCAAATCCTCACGC